TCTCACTGCAGAGATCAGACTCATAGTGATCCTCCGGGGGCAGGGCCAGCACGGCAGGCCCAGGGATCAAACTCCCAGCCCCTGCATCTGCCTAAGCAGACACTTTAATCCACTGAGCTATTTGGCAGGCCCTCCTATTGTTATTACATTGTTAAAGACAGCTAAGACAGGTAAAAATATAGTGCTGCCCCTGAGGGAGTCAATACAGAGAATAAAAACACATTACCACTGTGGCCAGAGACACATCTGTTTGAGCCAAACTCATGATAAAGACAAAATGACCAGGCCTACACACCCATCTTAGAGATAATAAATTAACATTAGTCACCCCATGGTTAGCCAAGTCCCCCTGATTCATCTCTTCCTAAAAAGGTCCTTATTCTTTCCATATACAGACGTTATGTGACCTGTTTTCCCATTGGATCTGTATTTCCTAAGCCACTAAACTTATAATCTTATTGATTGATCAGAGTTTTATACCACAGAAGAACCAATTTGTGATTTTGTACCCACCTAGTTTTTTGCTCTATGAAAATTGCTCTATAAAATTGGGTTTCTAGCAACTCATTTTCCAGGCATTATGTTTCTCAGGAGCTATCTCTTTTTCTCAATACACATTTCCTTCTCTTAACCTCTGTTGTTTCTTGTAATTCAGCCTTTAGTTTTGGAAAACATGAATTTGGCATATCTAGCATCTAATAGGTTGGAAGTACATCTATTTTCCCTGTATCATTTGGAGGTCCCATTCAGGTAATTGGAAGGAGGTAAAAGTGCTTTTGTTTCAGGGATTCTGGATATGACTTGTTTAGGTGATCAGAAATTTTCATCCTTGTTTGTTAACTACTTATATCTTGAATTTTTATGCTTTGTCTTTTTTAATACATTGTTTTCTTATTAAAATGGTGACAAATTAATGTTCAGATTGTGGGAAGATTATAATATTTTTCTTGATAAGACATTTTACTTTTACAGACAAGCTCTAGTGTTCCACTTTTGAATATGTTTCTTTTAGATTTACTAGTTGCTGAATTTATTGGTGTTTCTTGCTTGACCAGTTTGACTTGTTAGGCAACAGCACTAGGGAAAATAATGGTAGAACATCCCCTAGTGGACTTTAACTGAAGTGTAAATTTATGAAATGCTGTAAAATGGGTCTTTTATGAAATATAGTTTATATTTAAGAAATATATATGCTTATTAATGAATCATGAAATTTTAACTGCCAGTAAAAGGCAATAAGTTGGATGCTGGTCTTAAGACATAGAGGACCGTTTTCACTGTGAAGGTCTGGTCTAATCACCCCTCTACACTCCAGAGGAGAATGTTGGTCTGATCTGCTTCAGTTTCCTTTCAGATCTGATATTCTGCTGGGGAGAAGATTACCTCAGTGCTTGGGACTCACTACTCTCACCTTTCCAGGCTGAGAGTGATGACTCATTGGCAAATTGTCTCAATAGCTCACTCTGAGTGTGAGAAGAAATCATTTCCTTTTTCTGATCTAATTTCTTATCTTTTTCATGTCACTTTATACTTTCCTCTTTTGGAGGCATGTTTCTGCTGAAGATTAAAGAGAAAAGAACCCTAAACTGTCTGATGTTTCTCTTCTATCCAACAACTATGAACTTTTGCACTGGGTTCCTAGAAAATTAACATTTGCTGATGCCAATGACAAGGAAAAATGTTGGTTAATGGGTAAATTGTGTTGCTGACTGATGGGTACAAGTTATAATGTGTGAGTTTCACAAATGTGTTGAGATGTAGAGACATAAAATGTTTAGTGTAGATTTTCAGTAAATGTTAGCCTTCTCTTGCTGCTAAGAAAGATCGACTGGACTCAGTGATTGGGTGCATAACACAAATATCTTGGAGACTTCTTTATCCTAGGGCCCACGAAAAATCTTTCTGAGCCATTACTTGCCTCTAGCTCTAGAGGTGATCTCTTTTATAAGCTGGGAAGTGCTCCAGTCACTTCCAATTGGCCCTTTGAGGTTTTTTCCCTCACTCTATTTCAAAGAATTGAAAAGCAGTTGGCCCAGTATCTTGATTAATGGTTTAATTTTGCTGGCAATGCTTTCTTCTTTAAAACTGACTGTTATAGCTATAACTAGTTGTAGCTTGTAATTTTGAAAACACATTTAGAGTTTGGGCTGTGAGTTTCTGGAGAAAATAAGGGAGCAAGTTAGTAATGGTGGCTTGTATGATCTAACCTATCTTCTGGTCACTCTCCAGATAACAGCCACCTTGCCTACAACAGGTCATGCTAGGGGACACCTTGAGAAGATAGAGAAACGAGGTAAAGATTAAAGGGATGGTAATGTAAACTGGTACAACCACTATGGAAATCAGTGTGGAGACTTCAAAAAAACAGAATTTGAATTCGCATTCAACCCAAGTATTCCCCATGTGGGTATTTTTCCAAAAGAACTGAAAGCATTATACACATTATATGTGCACCCATGTTTATAGCAGTAGAATTTGTCATAGCTAAAGCTTGGAAACAGTCCAAATGCCCACTACCTGAGAAATGGTTAAAAAAGATGTATTTTTATACAATGGAGTATTTGATGATATATAGAAAGACAAACTTGAGGCTTTTATAGGTAAATGGATGCAATAGAGACTGTACTCACAAGTGAAAAAACTAAGACCACATGTGTAAACATCATATTGTCTCCCTAGCTTATGAACCTAAAAGATTAAATACAATCTGAAACGTACAGTAGAAATAGTATAATGGAAATAAACTGAACATAAGGAATAAACAATTGAAATGAGGGAAAGGAGAAAAGATAGGAATGGGGAAAATCATATAAATATAGAAACAGGAAAACTAATATGATTGCACTACTAATTTCTATTAATAAGGCAGGGGCCGGGGAGATGGCTCAGTGGAATAAGTGCTTCCCTCACAAATGCAAGGGCCTGAGTTAAATCCCCAGTTCTGAAAAAAAAAAACCTAAACTAAACAAAAAAATAAAAAATAAGGCAGCAGTTAATGTTTAAAATTTTTACTTAGCTAATAGCTGTAGTCTAAGAAACTACATTGAAGACAGCAATGTGCAATATAGCAATCACTGTTGAATAAGTTCTACCTTGTTTTTTTAATGTGTATTGTTTCTAACATCTTATTTAAAGGAAGAGTTAATGTTTAATTGTTTGATCAAACTTGCATGTCTGCTTTTCCGCCCGCTCCCCCCTCCCCCCTAGCGCCGCTCCGGCTGCACCGCGCTCGCTCTGAGCTCCGGGCTCCTGCTAAGCTTGCGCGGCCGCCACCTCCCTCAGCCACCATCATGATTATCTACCGGGACCTCATCAGCCACGATGAGATGTTCTCCGACATTTACAAGATCCGGGAGATCGCGGACGGGCTGTGCCT